GAACAGTTATTTTATCTCTGTTTGCTGACTACAGATTATTCTTTCACAATGTTTGTCCAAAAGGATAACAGTTGGAAAAATTTCGGTCCACAAGAATTTGTTTTATAGAGGAAATATGAGTCTTATTTTAAGAGAGGTAGCTAATGAGTCAGGGAGACTATTGAAGAGAGATATTAAAGCAGCAGAGCCTTGAGGATGGATGGGAATGGGATTAGTGCAGAGTATAGAGGGAAGCAGAAAGATACCTTCTTTTTACTCTACCAGGTAGGAAGATGAGTGAAAATACTAAAAATTGAAATTAAAAATTGATATGATCATGTGGTTCCAGAAATGGAGAAGAGAGATGATAAGAACATATCCTTCTGCCAAGTGACTGAGGTCTTTCCTGTAAAGTAGATCATATAAAATCATGAAAGCTTAGCAGGGGAGCTTATAATTGATACTATTGGCAGCAGGCTGAATTGCATATTCTTTACTGGGGAAATGACAAAAAAAGATTTATATTAATTTATTCATGGACAAATACTTTGGGAGATGATAAAGTCGGTTAGGTTGATAAGATTAACTGAAGTGAAATGGATGTTCTTGGATGTAGAGAAGTAAGATACTGAGAGTGAATGGATGAAGAGTCCAGAATGATTCCAAGGAGTCAGTTACCTTTTTGTTTGGGAGATGGGGTGGGGATGGGGGTACCACAAAATTGGCAAACCAAAGGAGGCATTTATTCATTATGTACTATGTCTGGTTACATTATTTGAGGTACATTTTATTGTATCACTTGTTAACATTATCGAATCTGGAAGAAAGAAGTTGGGAAGAGTTGTGGATTCGGAAGAACAAAAGGGAGGATATATATGATACATTTGCAGCTGTGATTCAATCTCTCGTTTCATCCATAAAGCCTATTGTATTATTGGAAACCTTCTTCATTTCTTTCTTTAATTTCCACACTTATTCTGTACACCATTCAGCTAGTTAGAGTGTGATATATGCTGTCTTTAATTATTAGTTTGGGTTTTTTGTAATGTAGCAAAACTCCACATCTACATTTTAAAACCTTTGAACAGGAGATCTCATAGTTAGAATGTGTTTTTAGTGCCTAGGATGGTGCTTTGCATATATTAGAATCTCAGTACATACAGAGATGTATGTATGTAAAATAATATACATTTTGTTATATTATTTTAGCCTTTCTGAATTGAGCACAGAGCAGGCACTTACTAACTGCTGAATAGATAAATCATTGAAAGCTGTTATGGGAAATACCAACAAAGAATATCTTACTTTAACCTATCAAGACAATAATTACATACATAGATAAATAGAAAAGTATGGGACTAATTTATTTATTTAAAGGCTAAAAATTAATTAAGTCTTGGAAAAGAAAGTCATTCTGGATTATGGGCTTGAGTTAGTAAATAGAATTAAGGGAAGGATTTTTTTCAGTATAGGTAGGGCTGTTTGTTTAAAACTGTCATGTAAGTTGTATTTTAACTTACACTAGTTTTGAGCCAAGGACCTCTTGAAGCATACATATATGTCTCTTGACCTATTTTGACCTAATAAAACATTGTAGCCCCAAGGAAAATAATTTTTTTTCCTAGTGTGGCTGTCAGTGTGTTAAAATCAGGAAGATTAAGAGTGAGAGACGGAAACAAGAAAAATGTCAGGATTCATTAAAAAATAATTTAAGAAAAATGTCAGGATAATTAAGAGTTATGTATTAGAATTTGCAAAAAAAGACCAACTCAGGCAGTATAGCAAGGGGCGAGGAAGCATGACACTATGGGGCTCTATTTCTGAGTATGTTGGGGGAGGAAGTTAAATTAGTATAGAAGGTAAATAAAAAAAGGGAGTCAAGTCTGATGGCTTCTATAGGTTCAAAGTGGGATGTCCAGGCAGGGCTGCCATAGCTTGGTGGTTAGCGCAACAGCACCCCCATCCCCACCCCCACATACAGGGGTGGCAAGTTCAAGCCTCTCCTGGGCCTGATTAACCAAAAAAAAAAAAAAAAGAAAAGAAAAAAAAGTGGGATGCTCAAAGGAATCTTGGCTCACTGGATGAGTAGAGAGCTTAGAATGTTAGGAGGAGAAGTGTCTGGATTTAGTCAAATCTGATTAAAGGAGGCTGGCTGTGCAGGGTCGTGGGTGGTGGTGGTATTTCTGGACTGGTGGTGAGATCAGCATTTTGAAATTCAGGCCCTTAGGTAGGCATGAGGGTGCTAATGGGACTGGGTAAAATGGTATGGTTCAAGCGATGGGGAAGAAACCAGAGGATTTGTTCTTGTTTTTTTAAAAGTCTGACATATTTTCTAGACTATTGCTTTCCTTGGTGCTCTAATGAATATTGTTCAAAAATCCCGCCAACCTGTCTTTCTATCTGCTGATGCCTGCTTTTGATTAATTATACTTTGGTTTATTTTATGTGTAAAGTAACATCATTTAAAAGACTATGTTTTTCTTTTAAAGAAAGAGTTCTCAAGGAAAGAATCAACAGTTTATGGATGAATTCTCTCTTTTGTTATACCTAAGAAGTTTCTTTTTGTTTTTGTTGATTATTGTAGTCTTCCTTGGATCAAAGAAGGCTTACATTTTTCTAGACCTTTTGCAGGTTATTCTTTTTTATAATGCCATCTCTCCCTCTCTCTCTCTCTTTTTCTTTTAAGACAGAGTTTTATTTTGTCATCCTTGGTAGAATGATGTCCCAGCTTACAGCAACCTCAAACTCTTGGGCTCAGGCGATTCTTTTGCCTCAGCCTCCTGAATACTGGGACTACAGGCGCCTGCCATAATATCTGGCTATTTTTAGAGATGGGGGTCTCTTGTTCAGGCTGGTCTCGAACTCCTGAGCTCAAGCAATCCACCAGCCTCGGCCTCCCACACGAGTGCTAGGATTATAGGCATGAACCACCTTGCCAGGCCTATCATGCCATCTCTTTGTGTTTTTAGATTTACCAACATCTTTTTTCAGCATTTTAGGATAATACCTTCTCTAAAGTTATACGTTACATAGAGAGGAAATTACTTTAGTCTGTTAGGAATGATAAGCCTACTCGAGCAATCTAAAAATGTTACTTGCTGTGTGTCTGTTGACATTCACTATGCTTTGATCCACAGATACTTTAGGTCTGAATTTGTGCTTTCGTGATGTTAAAAGTATGCCTTATAATTGAAAATGATAGAAGCCGTAATAGAATCATTACCTACATAATTATTTATATCATGTTTTTGTGCTAAGATTCTTGATTTGTGCTTCTTTCTTTGCCTACATTTTAGGAATTCATCCAAGTTTCCACTCATATTGTTGGTATGAAATCTCTGGTATATGTTGTGTTTTCTTCATAAACTCCTTCCACATAGCCATCTTCTAACTTTATACTATAAATCTATAACATGTTCATAATCTTATACACCCTGCTTTTTACTGTTCTTTTTTAAAAAAATGTGGCCATTAGAACATTGTACTTCTTGGATTATTCTCAAGGACTTTAGGATCATTCTAACTGTATTTTGTAGCCTGTTGAGTTGAAAGTTTCTTAGTTTTAAGATTCTTCTGGTTTTATTTCAAGGATGGTATGAATATGTCACAGTGAGGAGGGGATGACTGACACCAACAAATCTGATGGGAGTTGATAGTACTACTAGTGATCTTAGAACCTTTTTTTTTTTGAGACAGAGCCTCAAGCTGTCCCCCTGGGTAGAGTGCCGTGGCATTACAGCTCACAGCAACCTCCAACTCCTGGGCTCAAGCGAGTCTCCTGCCTCAGCCTCCCAAGTAGCTGGGACCACAGGCGCCCGCCACAATACCTGGCTATTTTTTGGTTGCAGCCGTCATTGTTGTTTTGGTGGGTCCGGGCTGGGGATTCGAACCCACCACCTTAGGTGTATGTGGCTGGCACCTTAGCTGGTTGAGCTATAGGCGCCGAGCCAGAACTTTTTTTTTTTTTAAGATTAATTTTGTCTTTAGGACAAGCAACTCAGAACTAAGCTTTAATGATAACATTGCTGAAATCTTAGTACTTCTCTATTATGTAGTTAGCATCATGTCTTTCCCCCCTACCCCGCTTTTTGAGATAGAATCTCATTCTGTTGCCCAGGCTAGAGTGCTGTGGTGTTAGCTTAGCTCATAGCAACCTCATATTCCTGGGTTCAAGCAATCCTCCTTCCTCAGCCTCGCAAGTAGCTAGGACTACAGGCTTGCATCACAATGCTCAACTAATTTTTCAGTTTTTAGTAGAGATGGGATCCACTCTTAATCAGACTAGTCTTGAACTCAAGTGATCTTCCTGCTTTGGTCTCCCAGAGTGCTAGGCTTACAACTGTGAGCCACTGCGCCCAGCCGGGTTAGCATCATGTCTTGTACAGAGTAGTGGCCTCAAACTATATGCAGTTCTATATGCACATTTGGTGCTGGTTTGTTGTAGAGCCCAAGTAAATACTGGCTAAGATTTTGTCAAAAATGTTGAGCGTAAAGATAATTAAATTTTCATTGGTAGTTTGACTTTAACCTTTCTTTTAATGTGATCATCTTTTAGAATTTCATGTTGTTTTCTTGATATTTTACAAAGAGAAAGCCCATCAAGATTTCTAAGTACCTTTTATTCCCTAACATTGTATTGATATTTGGAACTTAACCTTTTTTGTTTGTTCTTTTAACTTCAGCATCAGTTTCCTTACATGTGGGAGTGAAATTGATGTTGTGATGTCCTGACTTCCACTGTATTCTGCTAGGTCCTATGATCATCTTTCCCCAGGACATCTTTAATCTTTTTCTCAGGTAGATTTTTTTAAACAAAAATCTTAATTTATCCCTCAGTTTATGTACTCTTGATTCTTATTTCTCAATTGCCTATTAATGAATTTTGTGGCACACTAGTTGGTATACACACACAGTCACTCTGGTAGCACCTACATGTAGGGTTAGCAAAGGAGTCAACTATGACTTTTTTGTCACAATGGACTTTATATTCATTTCTAAAATTGGCTTTTTTTTTTAAACAGATAAGTGTAAAGCAAGAAATTACTTTTACTGATGTATCTGAGCAACTGATGAGAGACAAAAAACAGATCAGAGAGCCCGTAGACTTACAGAAAAAGAAGAAACGGAAACAACGTTCTCCTGCAAAAGTAAGAAAATATATATTAAGGTGGTGGTTGCTAACCTCTTAATCTTAAAAATATTGGTTAATCTCATAGGCAGGAGCCTGGCTAGCCCATTAAGGCAGATGTCAAAGTCGCATGTGATTTAGTAAAATTGGCATGCTTCACCCCTTCACCAAGAGGGAGGGAAGGGACGCATGCCTGCATGGAGGTGGTGAGCCATGGCCTTTGATTTTTTACTTCTCTTTCACTATGTCCCTTTTTTCTAAAAATGAGCTTTTCTTATCTCTCTCTTTTCTCTAAAAACTAAACATGGTATGTAGTACCCTTGTTCTCAGACATATTAGTTTTACATATCTAATATTACAGTTTTAGGAAAATTTAATACTAGTTATTCATCGGAAAAAGGTATGAGATACTATAATAGTGTAATGTCTCTGAAGGCAGGGACTTCATTTTATTCAGAACTGTATCTAAAAGCCTGGAATAAGAGGCATAATAGATAATAAATATGTTATAGGTGAATGAACAGATTAGTAAATAAACAAGTGACCCTGTAAATACTGCTATGAGTTACCTGCTATTTTTGTTTTTGTTTGTTTGTTTGTTTATTTTTTTGAGACAGAGCCTCAAGCTGTCACCCTGGGTAGAGTGCTGTGGCATCACAGCTCATAGCAACCTCCAACTCCTGGGCTCAAGTGAGT